ATGTGCTTCTACTACTATGTGGCATAAAAGGTTGGGACACCTAAACCTGAGCAGTTTGAAATTGATGCAGGAACAAGAAATGGTAGTAGGATTACCAGAAATCAAAGTAGCTAAAGGAGTATGTGAAGGTTGTGTTCTCGGCAAACAATGTAGAGAAGCATTTCCAAAGGAAGCTAATACTAGAGCTGCAATTCCTCTAGAGCTTGTGCATAGTGACATTTGTGGTCCAATGCAGAAAACTACAAAAGCTGGAAATAGATATTTTCTTACTTTCATAGATGATTGTACTCGAATGTGTTGGGTGTATTTTTTAAGGCATAAATCTGAAGTTCTCAGTGTGTTTAAAAAGTTCAAAGTCACTGTGGAATTACAGAGTGGTTATAATCTGAAAAAGCTTAGGAGTGATCGAGGAGGTGAATACACTTCAATGGAGTTTAACAAGTTTGTTGAAGATGTAGGCATGGAAAGACAACTTACCACTCCATACACACCACAGCAAAACGGTGTGGCAGAGCGAAAGAACAGAACCATCGTGGAAATGGCTAAGTGTCTTATGTTGGAGAAGAAGGTTCCACTTGAATTCTGGGCTGAGGCAGTCAATACCTCTGTGTACATTTTGAATCGATGCCCAACCAAAGCCTTACATAAGAAGACACCTTTTGAAGCTTACAGTGGGAGAAAACCAGGAATTAAGCATCTAAAAGTGTTTGGTTCTTTGTGTTATGCTCATGTACCAAGTCAACAGAGACAAAAACTCGATTTGGCAAGCAAGAGGTGTGTTTTCTTGGGATATGGTAGTTGTGAAAAGGGATATAGACTGTATAACATTGAATCTGGAAAGGTGACTATTTCCAGAGATGTTGTGTTTAATGAAGAAGCATGTTGGGATTGGAATGCACAGAAGGAAAGAAGGGAGAGTATCCAGATCTTTGAAATGTCTGCAGGAGAACAAAACTGTGAAGGAAGTGCTTGTGATTCTGAAACACAATGTGAAGTCAGTGAAGAGAATGTTGGGTCAGATTTAGTTACTGAGCTATCTGATCAAGAAAGAGTGACAGGTCCACAGGATTTTGATCACACTCCTCTCAAGTATAGAAACATTGCAGAAATATATGAAAAGTGTAATCTGTGCATAATAGAACCCGAATGTTTTGAAGAGGCTGCCAAGGATGAATCATGGCAGAAGGCTATGGAAGATGAAATCTCTATGATTGAGAAGAATCATACTTGGGATCTTGTTGATAGACCATTTGATAAACCAATCATTGGAGTCAAATGGGTTTATAAAACAAAACTAAATCTGGATGGTTCAGTGCAGAAAAAAAACAAAGCACGGTTGGTTGCAAAGGGGTACTCTCAGAAGCCTGGAATCGATTTCAATGAAACTTTTGCACCTGTGGCAAGACTTGATACTGTGAGAACCTTGGTGGCCCTTGCTGCACAGAAAGGATGGAAATTATTTCAGTTAGATGTAAAGTCTGCATTTCTAAATGGAGTGTTGAATGAAGAGGTGTATGTGGATCAAACCATCTGGTTTTGTTATACAGGGCAAGGAAGAACAAAGTGTACAGGCTCAGGAAAGCTTTATATGGTTTGAAACAAGCTCCAAGAGCTTGGTATGAAGAAATAAATTCCTATTTTGCAAAGGCTGGATTCCACAGAAGTCCGAGTGAAGCTACTCTTTATATCAAGACATCTTACAGTGGCATTCTTATTGTGTCACTGTATGTAGAGATGATATTATTTACACAGGGAGTTCAAAAGAGATGATAGCTGAGTTTAAAGGTGAGATGATGAGACAATATGAGATGACTGATCTAGGATTACTTCATCATTTCCTTGGTCTTGGGGTATTGCAAACAGATAATTACATCTTCTTGCATCAAAAGAAATATGCAAAGACTTTGCTTGAGAAATTTGGACTTAGGGATTGTAAGCCGGTTGCAACACCATTAGCTATGAATGAAAAACTTACAAAAATAGATGGAAGTGATCTGGCAGATGAGACTTTATATAGACAAATGGTGGGAAGTTTGCTATATTTGACAGCAACAAGGCCAGATATTATGTTTGCAGCAAGCTTATTGGCTAGGTTTATGCACAATCCTACCAAGAAGCAGCATATGGGGACAGCTAAGAGAGTTCTGAGATACATACAAGGCACTGTGAACTATGGAGTGGTCTATGAAAAGGGAAAAGGAGCAGTGTTGGTTGGTTATTGTGATAGTGATTGGAGTGGAAGTGAAGATGATATGAGGAGTACATCTGGCTATGCATTCAATCTTGGTTCTGGTGTGTTTTCTTGGGCCTCAATCAAACAAAGCAGTGTTGCTCTTTCAACTGCAGAGGCAGAATACATCAGTGCAGCAGAAGCTACTGCACAGGCCATTTGGCTAAGATTTGTACTCTCTGATTTTGGGGAAGAACAAGCAGAACCAACTAAGTTGCTGTGTGATAATACTTCAGCAATTGCCATATCAAAGAATCCAGTCCATCATCACACAAAACCAGGCACATTAATCGGAAAATTTCATTTCATCCGAGATGCACTTCAAGATGGTGAGATTGATCTGGTATACTACTGCAAGACTGAGGAGCAGGTTGCAGATATATTCACTAAAGCTTTGGCAAGGGATCGATTTGAAGTACTGAGGACAGCTTTGGGAGTGATTTCAGCACATCACTTAGAAGGGAGTGTTAGTTTATAAGTGTATTTGCTGAAATATAATAAGAAGTCAGTTTTAAATATCAGCCCTTGGATCATAGTCCAAGTGTGCAGCTAAGATGTAATCTTAGATTAATTAATATTTCCTCTTGCTACATGTGCTAAGTGTGTGTGAATGAATGAAACAGTGTGCAGAGTTTGTTTCTTCTTCCCAAGCAGAATTCTCTCACTCTCTCTCTAGATTTCTACTCTCTTCCTTTCTTCAATATATATAAATTGATTGAAACACTCATACAAGATCATAGTCTGTATGCTAACAGTTTAATAGGTGCACAGTTGATGATTTTTTTTTTTTATAGTCTCTGAGTAACTGGTCGAACACCATTGTTTTGTGACTGGTGCATTTTGGTCTCAGGTCTGTGTATATTATGAATGTGCAAATGTTCATGACCTCAAAGCTCTGCAACGGCAATGAAAAGGAACAACAGCAAAGACTGTGCAGATCCGGTTCCTGCAAAGGTAAAAATCTTATACTCCGTAGGTTAATGAACCCCATGTTGTGAGAAAATAGCGTCATTACCTCTACATGTAATTATAATGGTGTGGTATTTGTGCAGAACACTGAGACCCGTGACAAATCCGAGAGAAAGAAATCTCAACAGAAAATCCACTGGACAGAAAGCATGACACATCTTAAAAGTTGTGATCTATTGATTATGAAGGTATAAACTCAGCCCTGCTCTGATTTAAATGTCATGATTAATTTCGTCCATGGATTTGTGAAAAATGCTAACAAAAACCATATGTATATGCGGGTTTGAGCATGCATCGAACTAAGAACATACGGACTAACATGTAGACGATGAAAGTGGAACGAAATGTGTGAGACTTAACGAAGACTAAATGAGCACGAAAAATATGGACCCTAAAAAGTAAAGGACCCCAGATCTGATGAACATATAACACAATGAATAAGACCTTCAGAAAATATGACTCTCACAAAATTGTGTGTTTTAAGTGATTCATAACATGGATTATAGAAGTCATAATGTCAACAAGCTTCTGGTGTGAGCTGTGTAGGACAGCAAGTTGGCCTTAGGACAAAGGTGGAAGACCGCACCCACTCGGACATCACAACTCCGCCTCCCATCCGAAGGTAAAACGAATACTGGGTTGTGATGTGTCTTGATATGCAAAGATGATGTTTATGTCCCAACATGGTTTCATTGCGGTGCTCTGTGTGCAGGGTATGCGGATCCATGATAGAGCTGAGGGAACATAAGTAAACACACAAGCTTAACGGACAATAACAACAAAGGCCTCAGGACCCAGATCTGTGTATCTGGGAGGTAAAATTCGAATTCCTGCAAGTTTAATTGTTGTAGATCTGGTAATAATAGCTGTACTCAGTTATGTGGTGTATGGATCTGTGATTTAACTGTGCTTCTCCATGCATTGCAAAACTGAGCTGCAAAAAATTAACTCCTCAAAATTATGTTTATGTGCTGGATCTGCGACAATCACCCCAAACTTGCATCTATGAATGACTTTATATTGACTGCTTTAAATTTCCAGCATAGTGTAGATGTGGTTGATGTTAATGTAGACTTGCTGCTAGGTGCATGATTCCAGTATAAGATGCTTTTTATTTTCCACGTTCGTAACCTGCAATTAACCGATATGCATTAAAATAAAATCAACTAGGTAAATAAAATCAACCTGCAATTTTCCATTTTTGAATTCTTCGTTTTTTTTTTCAATTTTTTTTTTTTTGGTATTTTGTATTTTATATTTTTATTTTATTTTATTTTTTTTGTGTTTTTGTTAAAGTGAATAATCAAACGAAAAATAAAATTAGGAAAGAGTTTAAAAAAAATTAGGTTGCCTCCCAATAAGCGCTTTATTTTAAGTTTGTAGCTAGACGTTGAGAAGTCCGGTGGCTAGATCACTGGTTCTTTCAGAATTAAAGACTTGCTTGCACCAAATTTCCCTATGCATGGTTTTAGTTGATATTTCTTGACCTTGAGCAAACAACCCCTGCCCTCTGGTTCAATGTCCACGTTACTGTTTTGAAAAACCCGCTTAACCATATAAGGGCCTTTCCACCGAGATTCTTGTCTCCCTGGAACTAACTTGAAACTGGTACTCAATAGCCACACCTTTTTACCAGGCTGTATTTTCTTAAAATCTGGTCTGCCTGGCAAATTTTCATGTGTTTTCATAATGTTAATTGGCTGGTCATCATGTAGCACCCTTTGCTACTGTGGTTTAGGACTTATGCAATCATGAGTCAAATTTGGAGGCTTTATGGACAAATGGTCAGTTGATGATCTGCTCATAAACTCGACACTTGGTAAACCATCAAATGCATCAACACGCATGCATTCTTGCTTATCACCTGAATGTATGCTTGCTTCAAACAACCTAAAACAACTGTTTGATCTTCGACCCTAAATGTTTGTGTTCCGACTTCAACATCAATAAAAGTCCGGGCTGTTGCTAGGAATAGGCAGCCCAAAATGATGGGTGTTGTCAAATCCTCATCCATGTCCAACACCATAAAATCAGCTGGTAAATATAAATTGTCAACCTTCACAATAACATCTTCAATGATCCCTCTAGGATAGGTAATTGAACGGTCAGCCAATTGAATAATGTTGGATGTTAGTTTTAGCTCACCCTCACCTAAACGTTTAAAAACAGAATAAGGCATTAAGTTTACACTAGCACCTAAATCAATTAAAGCACTACTAATCACAATTGCCAATAGTACAAGAGATAGTAAAACTCCCTGGATCTTTTTTCTTTGGAGGCAATTTATGCAATAGGACCGCACTGCACTGTTCTGTTAGAATAACTTTTTCGGAATCCCCAAGCTTCTTTTTCTTTGTGCAAACGTCCTTCAAAAACTTGGCATAAGATGGAATGTTCTTCATTGCATCAATTAATGGAAGATTAATTTGAACTTTAGCCAAAGTCTTCATAAAATCTTTTAACTGTTGATCTTTAGCTTTAGGCTTTAACCTTTCAGGATAAGGCATAGGAGGCTCATAAACATGTTATGCAGTTTTTGTGGTAGCTTCTGCAGTATTTTCGGATCTGTCTTGTAGCTGCCTAGAAATTGCAGAATCTGCAAAAATTGCAGATTTAGTTTGGGGCTGTTCTGCTGCCTACGAATTTCCAGCAGAATTTTCATGTCTGTTGTCGTAACTTTTGCCAGACCGTAAAGTATGTACAGCATTGCATTCTTCTCGTCCTCTTGGATTAGGTACTATTTGACTAGAAAATGTACCCGGAGCTCTTTCTAAAACCTGCAAAGCAATCTGCCCAATTTGTTTTTCCATGTTTTTCATTGCTGCCTGTATATTTTGGATTTCTTGAGTGGTAGTACTTGCTAATTTTTCAATTGCAACCTCCCAAGCAGCCTTAGGTGCATCAGGTTGTTGTATCTGCTGTTGAAATTGAGGCCTAGAGTGCTGATCTTTGCCCCACTTTAAATTAGGATGATCTTTCCAACCTGGGTTGTAGAAATTTGAATACGGGTCATATCGGGGACGTTGGAAATTGTTAAATGCATTAACCTGCTCTGTTGTAAAATCTAGACAAACATCTTTATGTGGGCAGCTCATAAAATCATGAGTTATCATGTTGCAAATGCTGCAAGCAGCTTGTAAGGGCTGCTGTACAGCAACCTGTGAACCTGGTATTCTTTGTAATAACATGTCAAATTTTGCATCAAGCCTTTTCTCCATTTTTTCAATTTGTGCTGTAACATACGGAGAACTGTTAGACATCTCAAAAACAGACCTAGATTGTGGTTGCTCAACTGCCCACTGTTGTGCATCTGCTGCCATTTTTTCAAATAACAAACAAGCCTCCTGTGCATTTTTATCTTTCTACGAACCTCCGCATGAAGCGTTGACAAGAGTTTTTGTAGTCATATTCAACCATCTGAAAAATATATGCAATTGATCAGTAGTGTTAATACCCGAATGTGGACATTTTCTAATCAACTCTTTGAACCGCTCCCATGCATCATGAAACTCCTCATTTGACTTTTGGGCAAAAGATAAAATTTGAGTTCTCATGTCAAGAATCTTTGAAGCAAGATAATACTTGTTTAAAAAAATTTCACTAAGTTGGGCCCAAGTACTAATGCTACCAGATGGGAGTGTGAGGAGTCATCTTCCTGCTTGATCTTTTAGAGTGTATGGAAACAAACGCAGCTTAATAGATTCGGTTGAGAATCCCCTTACCAAAATATTTTTGCATCCCATTAAAAATTCTGCAATATGCATGTTTGGATCGTCAGATGATAACCCATGAAATGTAGGTAGAATATTCAACATGTGCTGCTTTATTTCAAATGTAGACCCTTCCTCCACTGCCGGATAAGTAATGCTACTTGGTATATTTGTGGTATGGGCTGTTTAAGATTCACCCAAAGGCTGACCTGCCTCTAGAATTACAAATGCCATTTTTTCTTTACTGTGCAGGTCCCCAGAAAATGAAGGTTGCAGAAAAGTCTCCTGTAGTAACGGAACCCACTGCAAATTTTGCTCCCGGCGTCCTCTCCGTACAATTTGCTCAAGTTTTGGATCAAATGGAATCAATTTCTGCACTGTTGAATGGGTGCTGACCATGCACAGATTATCTTTGTAATCTGAACTGTACTGTTGTAATCTGTGAAAAATAAAATAAAAACGAAAATTAAATTTTTTTTATATGTATAAACGGAAATAGTAACTAATTGAAATTTGATCAGTAGGAATTATTTTAAATAATCCTCGGCAACAGCGCCATTTTCTTGATAGGGATTTTACTACTCATGTGAATGGGCTAAAAACTCATATTATACTTGCAAGAATCACAATGTTGTTGTAGTATAAACGGATCTCGCAAGGTCATTCTCCACATGGATTATTAAATAATTCGAAACAAACCAAATTTCAATTAATTATTGTAAAGTAGAAATTTAGGTGATTGATTTATAAACTACTTAAAATAAAAACGAATTTAATTAATAAAAATAAGACAATCTGCAATATTGAAAATAGAGGAAAAAGAAAACTATTTTGGGAGAAATCAAATTAAGAAAGCACTAGGGTTCCACCATCACCTAGCAATCTTATGAATTTTTACCAATTACTTATGATCTACACATACCACTTTGAAGGTTAGATTTTCCTAATTCATATTCTACTTGGAACCTCTAACATAGAACGTATATCTAACATGCAACCCATCCGGACGTTCGGATCAAATCTAAACATGAAAGACTCATAATGCTTTATGAAAATCCTTTGAAAAACCATGCAACCCTTAAGACGTGGTATTCATCCTAAGTGAAATTACAATTATTAATCACAAGAAGCCAGTGTCAATTTCAGGGAACATTCCGACCAAAACTGCATCAAATTACTTTTCTAAAGATCTTAATGGTGATCAGGCATTAAGACAATTAGATAGTTTTTATCCCGGTGATTAACAATTCAAAGTATGCATGCAATGAATCATAAGCAATTAAATAAAAATCATATATTCATGCTAAGGCTCAAGGCTTCGCCCTAGCAAAAGAAATTAGTTACACATATTCATAATTGAAATCATAGAAAATATTATTAAGAAAAGGATTGAAAACACCTTCAAGTAGAAAATCTCCAAAACCCTAGCACTTTTCTCTGTCTCCAAAATTGCATAAAATAAAGCGTCCTCAAAAACTGTAGACGGCCAAGCAATATATTTGCTAAGCCACCACACAAAACCTAATCCCCATAAAAAAAAAAAAGAACATAACCCTAAATTAAAATGGTAAAATTCGTCCAAAATCTGAACAGAGACGTTTTGGACCCATAAGCTGCTCCAAAACTGTCCCAGTATAGCTGGATTTAATGTTTGGAATATTCTGAACACTTCTCTAGAAGGCCACGAACGCATCCGAGGTCATCTTGAGCTCCAAAAATGCAATTTAAGCCCCAAAATATCATTTTCCAGCACTGCGCATTGCTCCTTTATTTTATCGCCAGAAAATAACCGCTTGGTGGAAAAATCCCAAATTTTGATACGATCAAGCTAAGTGACTCATGAACGTCCTCCAACTGGAATTACTCCAAAATTCGTCCATTTGATCCTGTTTTGCTCAAGAGAAAGTCGAAAGTCCTATATTGAAAATACAATTCAATATATAATTTAAAATCTACTCATCAATGACTAATTCATCTTCTAAACTCAACTCTTACAAAACTACATTTATTCCTTGAATTGAAATGTTGGGAGTTATCAAATCCAACTGTTTTACAAATCGTAAACGTAGTCCATTAAGCAAAGACAGGTTGTAATTGTATACCGGTATTTGAAGACGTAATCCATTGAGCAAAGACAGGTTGTAATTGTATAGCGATATTTAAAAACATATCTTCCAGGCGCCCTAGAGCGCTTACAGTATTGTGTGGTTTGACATGACAAGATCATCACGCTATCCACCACTCTTGATTGCATCCTATTTCAACGGAGGGCAATAGCTATGGGATTACAAAGGATAAATCAACGACTACACATTCTAATATTCAGTAAACAAATCTTCATAATCTAAATCCACCGTAAATACCCAGAACAAAACACAAATCACAAGGTGCTACAACTATGATAATTCGATCTACATCTAAAATGATAAGTATACAACTGACTACAAACAAATGCTAACTGGAAAACACTTCTCAACAATCCTTCGTTACAGATTGGTTGACCTCTGATGTATTCTCTTTCTGGCTTGGCGAAGGCACGGATCCTCCTAGTTTCAAGTCCCCACTTTGTTGTTGTTGCTGTTGCTGCTGCTGAAGCTGCTGCTGCATCCGTTGCTGCTGAAGTTGATGGAGTTGATGCTGCTGAAATTGGTGCTGCTGTTTCTGAGAATGAATCTGGAGCTGTTGAAACTGCTGTGCAGCTAGAAGGGTGTGCATAGCTTGATTGGTTGGATAGAATTGCTGCTGGCCCGCCCCGCCAAAACAAGCGTAGTTCATCATAGGTCCACCATTTGGCATAGCTTGGCCAGTAACAACTTTCAGATGCTGAATTTCTTCTTTCAGTGCATCGTTCAATGCTACAACACAAAAAACATGTTTATGGCTACTAGAACATTGTAAACGAGCATAAATTCAAGGTAAATCTTTCTTGCCCATATTGGTGGTGGAGGTAGGACCAGAACAGCTTATACAAGCCACGAAACTAGATCCAATGACTGTACACAGGCTACGTCATAGAAGCAAATAAGGGGACTAAGAACAAAAATGTAATCAATTTGATAGATTTGATAGACAAGCAGTAAAATGGTCAATGCAATTATACATTTCCAGCTCAGTAATAAAAGCATCAAACATGTAAACCCCTCAAACAAAGCATTCATCGTAAAGATGCTCAATTCATGCAAATATAAATTTACAAACACTAAACCAAAATGAAAATATACAAAGAAAGAATCATTCTACTTAATTTTAGTACCTTCTGGATAAGTTGAATAAACCACAAAATCATAAACTCATTATGCAATAGGAAATGTCAAGGGACCAAAGTTCGTTTGCAGAATCTTATATCGTAGACTACCAGAAATTAGGTATTTGGTAAAAGTACATGCAGAAAAAAATCATCATCGACAAAAATCAGAATTAGCAACCAATTTTTATTCTGAGTTAACAAGAGGAAACAATGTCTGCCAAAATCACTTATGGCATCTTGTGAACTGCCATCTTGGATTCTAATCTCCAACAGAAATCAAGTATATGTATGTTAGCATCTACTTATTGGATCGTCCACTTTGTACTACATGTGAGCGTGCTTGAATCATGCTCAATTCTTCCTTTCAGTGTGTCAGCGTGCTTATATCATGCTCAATTCTTCCTTTCAGCCAATGACCAGACAATTCAATAAAATTAAGACATCTGGCTTTTCTTGTTTCTATACATTAGTCAACAACAACAACAACAACAAAGCCTTTTCCCACTAAGTGGGGTCGGCTATATGAATCCTAGAACGCCATTGCGCTCGGTTTTGTGTCATGTCCTCCGTTAGATACAAGTACTCTAAGTCTTTTCTTAGAGTCTCTTCCAAAGTTTTCCTAGGTCTTCCTCTACCCCTTCGGCCCTGAACCTCTGTCCCGTGGTCACATCTTCGAACCGGAACGTCAGTAGGCCTTCTTTGCACATGTCCAAACCACTGTAACCGATTTTCTCTCCTCTTTCCTTCAATTTCGGCTACTCCTACTTTACCTCGGATATCCTCATTCCTAATCTTATCCTTTCTGGTGTGCCCACACATCCAACGAAGCATCCTCATCTCCACTACACCTACGTGTTGATGCTTCACCGCCCAACATTCTATGCCATACAGCATTGCCGGCCTTATTGCCGTCCTATAAAATTTTCCCTTGAGCTTCAGTGGCCTACGACGGTCACACAACACGCCGAATGCCCTCTTCCACTTCATCCATCCAGCTTGTATTCTATGGGTGAGATCTCCATCAAATTCTCCGTTCTTTTGCAAGATAGATCCTAAGTAGTGAAAACGGTCGCTCTTTGGTATTTCCTGATCTCCGATCCTCACCCCTAACTCATTTTGGCCTCCGTTTGCACTGAACTTGCACTCCATATATTCTGTCTTTGATCGACTTAGGCGAAGACCTTTAGATTCCAACACTTCTCTCCAAAGGTTAAGCTTCACGTTTACCCATTCCTGCGTTTCATCTATCAACACTATATCGTTTGCAAAAAGCATACACCAAAGAATATCATCTTAAATATTAAGTTTGTGATCTTCGCTAGATTGCTTCGGTCATTAGTGTGGATAAGTATGTAAATGGATAGAGACAGGAAGCAAACACAAGATGTACGTGGTTCACCCAGATTGGCTACGTCCACGGAGTAAAGGAGTTCTCATTAATTGTGAAGGGTTTACACAGTATATAGGTTCAAGCTCTCCTTTAGTGAGTACAAGTGAATGATTTAGTACAAATGACATTAGGAAATATTGTGGAAGAATGATCTCGTAATCACGAAACTTTTAAGTACCGAAGTGTGGTATCGTCTTCACTTAACTTATCTGTCTCATAGGTAGATGTGGCATCTTCTTTGGAAGTACTCTTCCTCCCTCCAGGGGTGGTATCTTTAACTGGTGGAGATGCACAAGGTAATGTATCAATTTCACTTGACGCTTACTTGTAGTTTCAGGCTTGGTCAAGCGCGACACAAACCATGTAGTAGGAGTCCCCCAAGTCGCCGAGCTAGGGGATCTGCTGAAAGAGGTGACAGACAAGGTAAGCAATCAGTCCCAGATTAGAAGTTTGATTTCGAGTTCCGGCTGATTGTTATCCTTCTCCTTATCTTGCAGGGTAGCATGAAGGATAAAGAGAAGAAAAGGAGAAAATGTGATGTGAGATACTTTTGCTTTTGAAGAAGTAACTTTCCACAGGCTTATTCTTGAACTGGGCCGGAGGGTTTTCTTGTTTCCGCCAGAGTATAAGGCCGACTGAAGAATTTGAGGGTCAAAACAAGTCCATCAAATCTAGAGTACGTTCGACCCTGCTGATATGGAATACTTTTGCTGTTGACAAAGTAATGGATGTATCGGCACGTGTTCTGTTACGCTTGTCTCCACATGCTTCCTTGTATCCTTCTCACTTGCCCTATTTGTTCCTCAAGCAGATGTGGTATCTTCTCGGGAAGCATAAGATGTTGAAGATGAGTACTCGAGAGCAATGGGGTTCCAGGCAGTCAGTTCCGGACTGGAAGCTTGATTCCAAGTGCTGATTGATTGCTCTCTTTCTCCTTGTCTTGCAGGTAAGAACAAGGCCAAAGGAAAAGACAGGGAAAAAGCATGATATGGGATACTCTTGCTTTTAACCCTGATGATATGAGATATTCTTGCTCTGGTGTAGCTTGTTTACAGAGGTATTCTCGGGGGGGAAAGAAAGCTGAGTATTTCGAGAGGCTTCGTTGGGAGTGCCCTCTCAGATATGAGGAATGGTTGAGCATTTTTGCAGGTCTGCTTGTCCGTTGAGGATGGAGGTCGACATATATAGGAGTCTCCCTAACAAGAAGGAGTAATACTATTCTTTTACCTTGCTTGGTCATACCACGGTAGTGGGAGCTGCCAGCTTCACGTGTTTTAACTCTGTCAGAGCACTTTGAAAAAGTGGTCTGTGGTATCTGGAAAGCTAATGTTACGTGTGAAGATTACAGACAAGCTTTATCCAAGGAGATCTGGCTCTCGAAGTTGAGAAAGCGGTGTGAGGACTACAGACAAGCTTTATCTAAGGGGCTCTCGAAGTTGAGAAAGCGGTGCCTCTTCGATTTTCAAACAAGCAATCCTGTCGGGGATCTGTCTCTCGAGATTCGGAGAACGGTGCCTCTTCGATTTTTGAGAAAGCAATCCTGCTAGGAGTCTGGCTCTCGAGATTCGGAGAGCGGTGTCTCGTCGCTTTTTGAGAAAGTAATCATGTTGGGAGTCTGGCTCTCGAGATTCGGAGGACGGTGCCTCTTCGATCTTGAAGCAAGCAATCTTGTTGGGAGTGTTTTCTCGAATGTGAGTAAAGGTTAGGCCTGTTTGCTAGTCTACCTTGCCACGGAGCACAGAGGTTGACACACAGGGACTTTCCAATTATCCAGCAGTGGTCCTATTCCTTTACCCTTGTGGGTAATAATATGGTAGCTAGACCTTCAAAATTTATGTGTCAACTTTGTTAGTGCTGTTTCTTTGCTATTCTTTTACCCTTCTTGGTCATAGCGATGTAATGGGAGCTGCAAGCTTCACGTGACTAAACTTTGTCAGAGATTTTTGGCAAAGTTATCTGTGGTACCCGTGAGCTGATGTTGCGTGTGGAAAGTGGATGATTGAACAGTAACATTCACGTGCTTTCTACTTCACCAGAAATCTTCGACAGAATGCCCGTAATTTCCGCAAAGTTGAGTGTGCATGTAACAGGTGCTGAGAAGGCTGAAAAAGCAGGTGCCTCTTCGATTTCTGAGATCGGCCCTCATGGTCTCTGAGCAGCCCAGCTTTTGAGAAAGCAAGCGCCTCTTCGATTTCTGCGATCGACCTTCGTGGTCTTTGAGCAGCCCAACTTTTGAGAAAGCAAACGCCTCTTCGATTCCTGAGATCGGCCCTCGTGGTCTCTGAGCAGCCCAACTTTTGAGAAAGCAAACGCCTTTTCAATTTTTGAGCAGGCGCCTCTTCGATTTCTGAAGCTCCATCGAGTGCAGATTTTTATAAAGGCTGGTATTAAGTTCCAAAGCACACTTGAATCTCCACCAGTAGAAGCTCCCTTCTTGCATTTCTAAGATCTTGATTTGTCCGACCTCTTTTCTCTTCAACACCTTTGAAAATGTCTGGCCCCTCCGACAGTCTTTTGACTTGAACCTTGTTGAAGAGGCAGCCACACCTTCTCCAGACAACATATGGCGCCCATCCTTCATATCCCTTACTGGTCCTCTTATCGTTGGGGATTCCGTGATGAAGAATGATATGACCGCTGCGGTGGTGGCCAGGAACCTTCTCACTCCCAAAGATAACAGACTACTTTCCAAACGGTCTGATGAGTTGGCTATTAAGGATTCTCTGGCTCTCAGTGTTCAGTGTGCAGGTTCTGTGTCTAATATGGCCCAACGCCTATTTGCTCGAACCCGCCAAGTTGAATCATTGGCGGCTGAAGTGATGAGTCTAAAAAAGGAGATTAGAGGGCTCAAGCATGAGAATAAACAGTTGCAACGGCTCGCACATGACTATGCTACAAACATGAAGAGGAAGCTTGACCAGATGAAGGAATCTGATGGTCAGATTTTACATGATCATCAGAGGTCTGTGGGTTTGTTCCAAAGGCATTTATTGCCTTCGTCTTCTGGGGCTGTACCGCGTAATGAAGCTCCAAATGATCAACCTCCGATGCCTCCTCCTTCTAGGGTGCTGTCCAGTACTGAGGCTCCGAATGATCCCCCTCCGGTGCCTTCTCTTTCTGGGGCTCTGCCGACTGCTGAAACTTCTCCTAAGCAACCTTTGTGAAGGCTCCCTCTTGTTTGTTTATTTTGACTCGTGTATATGTACATATTTGTAACTTCTTAGAGATATCAATAAATAAGCTTTGTTTCATTTCAACGTATTGTGTTAAATACACCAAAGCCTTCTTCACTAAGTTCTTTGAATTTTTCTTTTGTTGAAGCTTGTATGTTGAAGCTTTGTGAGTGGAGCATGTAGGTTGAGGTAGTGTTCCCTTAATTTCCCGAGTGGGGAAAACTTCTCGATTAGAGACTTGAAAAATCCAAGTCACTGAGTCAGGTCGGCTATATGAATCTTAGAACGCCATTGTGCTCGATCCTGTGTCATGTCCTCCGTTAGATCCAAGTACTCTAAGTCTTTTCTTAGAGTCTCTTCCAAAGTTTTTCTAAGTCTTCCTCTACCCCTTCGGCCTTGAACCTCTGTCCCGTAGTCGCATCTTCTAACCGGAGCGTCAGTAGGCCTTCTTTGCACATGTCCAAACCACCGTAACCGATTTTCTCTCAGTTTTCCTTCAATTTCGGCTACTCCTACTTTATCTCGGATATCCTCATTCCTAATCTTATCCTTTCTCGTGTGCCCACACATCCAATGAAGCATCCTCATCTCCGCTACACCCATTTTGTGTACGTGTTGATGCTTCACCACCCAACATTCTGTGCCATACAGCATCGCCGGCCTTATTGCCGTCCTATAAAATTTTCCCTTAAGCTTCAGTGGCATACGACGATCACACAACACGCCGGATGCACTCTTCCACTTCATCCATCCAGCTTGTATTCTATGGTTGAGATCTCCATCTAATTCTCTGTTCTTTTGCAAGATAGATCCTAGGTAGCGAAAACGGTGGCTCTTTGGTATTTCCTGATCTCCGATCCTCACACCTAACTCATTTTGGCCTCCATTTGCATTGAACTTGCACTCCATATATTCTGTCTTTGATCGGCTTAGGCGAAGACCTTTAGATTCCAACACTTCTCTCCAAAGGTTAAGCTTCGCATTTGCCCCTTCCTGAGTTTCATCTATCAACACTATATTGTCTGCGAAAAGCATACACCAAGGAATATCATCTTGAATATGTCCTGTCAACTCATCCATTACCAACGCAAAAAGGTAAGGACTTAAGGATGAGCCTTGATGTAATCCTACAGTTATGGGGAAGCTTTCGATTTGTCCTTCATGAGTTCTTACGGCAGTCTTTGCTTCTTCATACATATCATTTATAGCTTGGATATATGCTACTCGTACTCCTTTCTTCTCTAAAATCCTCAAAGAATGTCTCTTGGGACCCTATCATACGCTTTTTCCAAATCTATAAAGACCATGTGTAAATCCTTTTTCCCATCTCTATATCTTTCCATCAATCTTCGTAAGAGATAGATTGCCTCCATGGTTGAGCGCCCTGGCATGAACCCGAATTGGTTGTCCGAAACCCGTGTCTCTTGCCTCAATCTATGCTCAATGACTCTCCCAGAGCTTCATTGTATGACTCATTAGCTTAATACCCCTATAGTTCATGCAATTTTGTACGTCACCCTTATTCTTGTAAATAGGCACCAAGGTGCTCTTTCGCCACTTGTTTGGCATCTTCTTCGTTTTCAAAATCCTATTGAAAAGGTCAGTGAGCCATGCTAAACCTGTCTCTCCCAAGGCTTTCCACACTTCAATCGGTATATCGTCTGGGCTCACTGCTTTTCTATGCTTCATCTTCTTCAAAGCTACAACCACTTCTTCCTTCCTGATTCGACGATAAAAGGAGTAGTTTCTACACTCTTCTGAGTTACTCAACTCCCCTAAAGGAGTACTCCTTTCATGTCCTTCATTGAAAAGATTATGAAATAACCTCTCCATCTGTCTTTGACCGCATTCTCTGTAGCAAGAACCTTTCCATCCTCATCCTTGATGCACCTCACTTGGTTTAGGTCCCTTGTCTTCGTTTCCCTTACTCTAGCTAGTTTATAGATATCCAACTCTCCTTCTTTGGTATCTAGTCGCTTATACATATCGTCATAAGCTGCTAACTTAGCTTCTCTCACAGCTTTCTTCGCCTCTTGCTTCGCTCTTCTATACCTTTCACCATTTTCATGGGTCCTATCCTTGTATAAGGCTTTACAACATTCCTTCTTAGCCTTCACCTTTGTTTGTACCTCCTCATTCCACCACCAAGATTCCTTTTGGTGTGGAGCAAAGCCCTTGGACTCTCCTAATACCTCTTTTGCTACTTTTCAGATACAGCTAGCCATGGAATCCCACCTTTGGCTAGCTTCCCCCTCTCTATCCCACACACACTGGGTGATTACTTGCTCTTTGAAAATGACTTGTTTTTCTCCTTTTAGATTCCACCATCTAGTCCTTGGGCACTTCCAAGTCTTGTTCTTTTTTCTCACTCTTTTGATATGTACATCCATCACCAACAAGCGATGTTGATTAGCCAAGCTCTCCCCCGGTATAACTTTGCAATCCTTACAAGTTATACGATCCCCTTTCCTCATTAGAAGAAAATCTATTTGTGTTTTTGACGACCCACTCTTGTAGGTGATCACATGTTCTTCTCTCTTCTTAAAGAAGGTGTTGGCTAAGAAGAGATCATATGCCATTGCAAAATCCAAGATAGCTTCCCCATCCTAATTTCTCTCCCCAAAACCATGGCCACCATGAAAACCTCCATAGTTGCCTGTCTCCCTGCCCACGTGTCCATTTAAATCTCCTCCTATAAATAACTTCTCCGTCTGAGCAATTCCTTGCACCAAGTCTCCAAGGTCTTCCCAAAATTTCTCCTTCGAACTCGTATCCAACCCTACTTGAGGTGCGTACGCACTAATCACATTGATGAGTTATTGTCCTATTACAATCTTGATTGCCATGATTCTATCTCCTACCCTCTTGACATCTACAACATCTTGTGTCAAGGTCTTGTCCACAATGATGCCAACACCGTTTCTCGTTCTATTTGTGCCCGAATACCAAAGCTTAAACCCTGAGTTTTCTAGATCCTTTGCCTTAAGACCAACCCACTTAGTTTCTTGTAGGCACATAATATTTATCCTTCTCCTCACCATAACTTCCACTACTTCCATAGATTTTCCCGTTAAGGTTCCTATGTTCCACGTTCCTAAACGCATTCTACTCTCTTGAACTCTACCCTTCTGTCCTAACTTCTTCACCATCCCCCGTCTAATAGGATCAAAGTACTTCTTTTGTGTGTCCTGTGTAAAGTTGATAGGAGCATATGCTCCCAAACAACTTTGAGTGGAGTTGTTCGAAAAGAAGTTTCTATGGCCCCCTTGCTCATTTAACACTGCATCCGGGTGCCGATGGAGATACAGCGACCCTTGCTCACTTATCACTGTGCTCGGGCCACACAGCGCGCCACTTACGGGTGACGTCCTAGCTTTAGCGCGATTTCGTTATGGATTCATTGTCATAAGGATTCGACGTAACTGTGGAGTGCCGGCTGTCGACTACCTGACGCCCTCCCCCTCCTTTATCCGGGCTTGGGACCGGCAGTGTAAGATAAACTTACACAGGCGGAGTTTTTCTATACATTAGTCATTACTATAAAAAGAAGAAGACAGATGACAATGATAAGGAAAGAAATACTACACATGAAAGTTAATTCTAATCATGAAAGGAAGAAGGAGTTCACCATCTTGCAAATGAACCTGTTGCTCCATTGTCTGCAAGCGCAGTTTCAGTTCACTGTTCTCAGCAGTCAGACCATTTGCATCTCTCTGCTCATAACAAAAATTCATAAGAATAATCAACTTATATCCTCATTATGTAAGCTAGATAAAACAGCCATGTGACTAATGCAGTGAAAACAAAGGGAAATCATAAGCTAAGAGTCATTTAAGCAGTCCAATGAAGAGAACCTGGTCTAATAAAGGACTGGGTTAAGCCGATGAAATTTACCTGCAAGAGAGTCAATTGAGCAGACAAGGAAGTTGCTTCTGTTTGCAACGTCTGGACTTTCTGTTCAAGCTCAGCAATATATCGCATTTTCCTTTCCTTTGACCTTGCAGCTGACTGCCTATTTGCCCAGATCCTAATGCATGTCAACCACACGTAAAATATTACACATGATGGTTGAAGCAACATGCAAAACAAGGGAGCAACCAACTCTTTTATTTTCATTTAAGAAGGGAAAATGAAGATGGGTAAAAACTAGAAAGCACCAAAGAAAATCAGATCCACTTCAAGGGTAACAAGATGTCACAGGGGCATTAACAGAAAAAAGGAAAACAAACCACCCTTACCACCTAATACTATCTAGACATGATTCTTGAAAGACCAACTCCATTGCCTTAAAAATCAGTCTATATGAAGACTGAAGAGACAGAATCATAAGGGGCATACTTCTAGATATGAACCAGACAATATGATGAGATGAAGTCATCAGATAATCTTACTCTTGGGTAATGTGAGTATAACATATGATTCACAAATTTTCATCCCAGACAATTTTCAAAGAAAGAGTAATATATATTGAATGATACTGCTACATGTCATGAACTATGGTCCACAACCACTTGAGCAATTGGTTTGAACAACAATATTTCTATTGAACTCGATCAAAGTAATACCAATTCTAACAAGAACGCATCTTAAGGGACCCAATTAATTTATTGTAGTCCAATTAGGAGAGTAAATGACTATTACGTAAAAAATGAGCAACACAGAAACCTGGTACATTAGAACTTGAAAGCAACTTAACATTTAAAAAATAAAAGCAGGGTATAAGTCAATTAGTAAGAGAACTAGGAAATGCATTGTCTATCACATCTGGCTGTAAACCAATGTCAAACACCTCATACATCAAATTATTTGGAGCTGCTATGCAATAAGTACAAAGTTATTCACCACTGATACACTACAATAACAACCTTGAATGGATTCTTAAAAAGCTAAGAACTTTGACTGCAAACCATAAAGAAAACATTGCATGAACTCAAAACAAAAAACACAGACTATTGTCTGGAATTACAAACGCTAATAATTTTAGAACACCATAATCCTCAATCCATGCCACATGTGTCTGGATACACAGAGAATAAACACGTGTCCTTGCATATGAAACACTACTGCTATCAATAAAGGAAAAGTAGACTCATCGACAAAACTTAACAATAAACTACGTTTATTAAGAGGCTAACAATTAAGAATTCTAATATAGTAGGATTTTAAAAAATGACTACCTAGGCTTGAACACATGTTAAAATTACATGCAAAAGCAATAGCAATTCAAAGTACTATCAACTCAAGTTTGCTACCAAAAAATACTAACAGCTGAATTCCTAGTTAAGAGTAACATTATATATGATTACTCAAGAATTAATACCTCTTTGCACGTTTTGGATCAATCAGGGCAAGCTCAGCAAGCTTAGCAGCTGACAGGGATTTCTTGGAATCAGCTGCATTGATATCTTCTGAACTGGAGACCAGCATCTCCGGTTTGATGGTTGACGACCCATCCATTGACTGGCTATGTTGGTGCCTAACTCTGAGTCTCTCATTGGAACCAATGGCAATATTCTCCGCGGATGAGGTGGGTGCTCTTGATACTGGTGCTATTACTGGAGCAGGTGCTGCTGCAGAAGATGATGGCTCCCCGAACTGAAAGGATGATGTAGCAGATGATGAATTGAACTTTTCCATATCAAGGTACATAGAGAACAAGTCTTCCTCAGTCTCATCCGAAAATGAAGGGTCATCCGCACCACCCACAACACCAAGGTCACTATCAAAGCTAATATCATCTGGAAGGGTCAAGATTTCCGAATGGGCACGTCTATGACCCAATTTCCTAGGTGGGTTATCTGGCATTCTGCTAATATCATGGCTAAAGTGACCAGAGTCTGCACTAGCACCCGAGGCCAGCGGAGGAAACGACGATGAAGAGGATGGCTCAGGTTTCACATTGAAAGCAGCTCCGGTTGGCAAGAAACTCGAGTACCTGCCTGATGGGGGTGGGAAACCTCCACCATGGGCATGGGACTTGTCCTTGTCCATCTATAAGAATCACAACCCCTAAAATTTACCCTTAAAAATAGCTAAGATACCAAACATCCCAATAAATGCCAACTCCTTTCGGAACAAATCAAAATCTAAACCAAGTATCCAAATTCAGATTCTCAAACAAGAAAAAGAGGCAATTGAGATACGAAACAACACGAACAGACTCCCTCCAATGAAAAAAATTTAAAGTTGCATACATAAAAAAACACTAAGAAATGGAGATCTGACAGCGACAGGTGCAAAATAAATACACGAGGTTGAGCTACAAAAGGAAATTAAGCAAACACATACAAGAGCTTCAACACGAGAAAACCCTAGAAACCATCGCAGAGCAAAGCACAGCAGCTGAACATGGTAAATTTCTGGGAAAATATGGGAAATTTTGTGGGAATTTTCTCGGGAAAAAGGACATCGGGGTTGGAATTGTTCTTACAGACGCAGATCTTCGGATTGGGAGGTGGAACGCGAGAGAGAATCAATCACGCAGGCTTTTGTAGAAAGCGAAATTCGAATAAGAGCAGTCGCATGCAGATAGAGAGGGATCTTAGAGACGAGGAGGAAACGGAAGCTTGTGAGTAACGATACAAACATAAGAGTATTATACAATATCATTCCATTCCAACCGGAAGTTTTGCTCCCACCACATAGCCTGTCGGAGACGCACAAATTTCATTTCGGTTCGCTTGTGTTTCACGTACATATATATTATAGGAAAATGGGTAAAAATAGGCATTTTTCTTAATTTTGGGATAGAAATAGGATTTTTTTCTACAATTGAAAATAACCTAATTGCCTTCGTATATAAATGAGTTATTTCCTCCAATTTTTTGATTATCTCTCTCTCCTCTCTCTTGAAGAACCCTAACGATACACTCACCCTTTGACAACCCACCTCATCGGCGGCAACCCTTTCTCTCTCAATGATGCCCATCTTTTCACCAGTCTCCTCTCTCCTTTCTTTTCGAACTAGTGACCCAAGATTCAAATCGCATCTAAATTTTAGGTGAGTACAATGTCCAACTCACAATCCCAAAAGCTTGGTGTGTAATGAATAATAATTCATCCACCAAAGCTCTCATGAAGGTCCACAATGATTATTAAATAATTCGAAGTAAACCAAATTTCAATTAATTATTGTAAAACATAAATATGAGATGATTGATTTTTATGACCTAATTTAATTGATTTTTATGACCTAATTTAATAAAAACGAATTTAACTAATAAAAATAAACTAATCTGCAATATTAAAGATGAAGAAAAAGGAATCAGTTTTGGAGAAATCAAATTAAGAAAGCACTAAGGCTGCGTTTGGTATGTGGGACGGGACGGGATAGAACGGGACGAGACTTTCCGTCTCGCGTTTGGTACACTAAAAATGGGTGGAACGCGCTGTTCCACGGGATAGAAATTGGGTGTTTTTGCGTCCCGCCTCCCCCTAGAAGGGGTTGTTCCACGTATGTGGAACACAAAAATTCCACTGTCTACCCTCCCTCTCTCTCCTGCAGCCTCCCTCTCTCGTAGCTTCGTTACCCTCCCTCTCTCCTGTAACCTCCTCCTCCACCACAAACCCAGCAACCCAGATGAATTCGAGCTAGATTTCGGGCTTTCCAGGCTGAGTCGCAGACGAATCTGCCGAAATATTGGCTAAACAGACCGAAACGCACTTCCTTCTAGGAAAAACTCGGCGTTTGTGCTGGCTGAAGACTTGCGCTGGCCGGAACGACGCAGCGTTTGCGAAGTGCAGGGAAATCATAGTTTGATGCAACTCAGTCCACACTCGCCTCCCTTAGCCTTTTCATATTGTTGGTTTTAAATTGGGGAAAAGTAATTTGATTTACTGGAATTGAAGAGAAAGTATGGGTTTGATTTACTGGGTTTGATTTTTACTGGGAGATCTGAGCATGCGGGAGAGAGAGAGAGAGAGTCAAATGGAAGAAGAGAAAGCAGAGAAACGGGAGAGAGAGAGAGTCAAATAAAAAGGTAAGCTAGTCATTTAATCTAGTTTCGTTCTGTTCCATCTTGTTAGTACCAAACATGACATGAATTTTTGTTCCGTTCCGTCTTGTTCCGTCTCGTCCCGTACCATCTCATCTCATCCCGTCTGCGTACCAAACGCTACCTAAGGTTCCACCATCACCTAGCAATCCTATAAACTTTTACCAATTACTTATGATCTAGACATGCCACATTGAAGGTTAGGTTTTTCTAATTTATATTCTACTTGGAACCTCCAACATAGAACATATATCTAACATGCAACCTGTCTGGACGTTCGGATCAAATCTGAACATGAGAGACTTATTATGCTTTATGAAAACCCTTTGAAAAACCATGCAACCCTTAAGACGTGATGTTCATCTTAAGTGAAATTACAATTATTAATCACAAGAAGCCAGCGCCAATTTCAGGAAACCTTCCGACCAAAATTGCGTCAAATTACTTGTCTAAGGATCCTAATGGTGATCAGGCATTAAGACAATTAGATAGTTTTAATCACGGTGATTAATAATTCAAGTGTGCATGCAATCAATCATAAGCAATCAAATAAAAATCACATATTCATGATAAGGCTCAAGGCTCAGCCCTAACAAAAGGAATTATTTACGCATATTCATAATTAAAATCATAGAAAATATTATTAAGAAAAGGATTGAAAACACATTAAAGTAGAAAATTTCCAAAAACCCTAGCAATTCTCTTTATCACCAAAGTTGCATAAAAGAAAGCGCATGTAAAAGTGAGAACGGCAAAGCAATATATCTGCTATGCCCCCGCAAAATCCCTAAAACATAGGTCTCTTATTCCAATTAGGAAACTAAGAAAAATAATAAAATATCTTAGAAAATAAAATCCTAATTAAACTAGGATAATCTGCCAAGTACCTGTCCAGTCACGTTTTTATCTCAAATATCCTTCAAATCTAGCCCTTGATAGCTTGTTTTGAAGATCAGGACGTTCTGAACACATCTCCAGAAGGCCACGAACCTAGTTGAGGTTATCCTGGGCTCCAAAAATGCAAGTCAAGCCCAAAACGTCACTATTCGCACCGCGCATTGCTCCTTTATTCTATTGCCAGAAAATAACCACTTGGTGGAAAAATCTAACTTTTTGATACGATCAAGCTAAGCAACTCACGAACAGCTCCAACTGGAATGACTCCAAAATTCGTCCATTTGGTCATGTTTTGCTCTAAAGGAAGTCGAAAGTCCTATATTGAAAATACAACTCAAAGTATCAAAATTCTTCCAAAATATACTAAGAATAGGGTAAAATATATAATATGAAATTGACTCATCAAAGGTCGTATGTGAAGAGTGCACTTCCAAACTCATGACCTTCTTGCCAGTTTCCTTTAAATTCTTAGTTTCAAGGCACAATGGGATTGGATGAATCAACATGAGCCAAAGCCCACTACGAGTAATGCGGGTTTTTTACGATATTTGGGGAATAATTTTTTCAAGGTTTGATTATGGGTTTTGATTTCAAAGTGGAATATTTATGAGTATTAATTTCTGGGATCGTATGTTTTATGGCTGCTGGGAGCTTGAGTAGTAAAATCTTGTGCTATTAGTTCAGCCAACTCAATAATTTTGACCAATGAATCTATTGATTCAAAAGTGTAGGAGTTTCTTGGCTTTGCCTGTATTTTGGGAGCTCATATGTTCTATGGCTCAAGTCAAATATTTATTGGCTTTGCCTTCAATTTTCTAGAAAATTATACATTGTATGCACACGAGATGCATATAGGGGGTCAAATTTGTGTTTGTGCTCAATTAGTTTAGTCTAATTTTGACCTAACGAGATTAACAACGACACAGAAACATGCCCTATACCAATCGAACCTACGACATCGGGTTTTGGATACTTAAGCATGCTTTGTGCTATGCATTTTTCATTTAAGAAAGTAGGCATTGTTAATGTTACCACAAACTTCTCCCTTTTCCATTTACTAACAAAAAGTACATGACAACTAAATTTCAAGAAAAGTAAAGGAACAGAAAAAAATCTAGTCCCTACTAAAACTATTTAACATATCACAAAAAATGCTCACTTCCTGATATCATCTACACGAATTGCAGCTACTGAATTTGTCATGGCACCAATAATCCCAATGTGGTCGGATTGTGAAAGGACCTTGTGCACTTCCACAGTCGTTGTATGCTTTGACGACAACATTATCATCATGAAGTTTTATAATTCTCCCTCTAACTTCCCTATCCACCCAAATTGACAAAAAAAAAATTCCGAGCTCTTTCTCTACACTCCATTACACTCACCAATTTCTGACGATTGAGATAATGCAGAAGCTTCAAGCCTTTCTCTTTTTAATTCCCCCTATGGCACACTAAGATCACACCGTAGACGTACGTTGATGCTTGATGACCCTTGGAGATCGCCATCTTCAGAGACTCAATTCCAAGTTCAGAATTTTGTATCTGAAGTACCATCACATCCCTTGGCTATACAGGGCCTCAGGATTGTTGCACTCCCTGCACCTACACTTCTTCATCTTTTATCTGTGAAGTTAATGGGTTAACCCTTTCAAATCTCCAAATGTTGATGTGTTTGAAGATGCAGTCATGTTAGATGAGTTGGTTGAATTTCTTGCACACCATTTTTGCTGAATATAAGGAACAAAAGGAGCGGGAAGCAACCTTGGTGAGTATTTCCAGAAGAAGTCGTCCGGAAGAGATTGTATGAAAGTTTGGTCGTTGTTCATTTCTTCATCGCTCTGCCTTTCTTCATTGTTCTACAACCGGATGAGATGTTTGTGCTTGGACAAGCATGAATAAATACACCACCTCTCATGCAACCCAAAAGTCATTCATGCACAATTTCGTAATTAATTATCACAATTTCCTAATTATGCCTATTTTTTTAAGCTTCTTGTCACAATAACCAACTGGATGAGGTGGTTTAGACTTTACAACCCAACCATGCATACACAATAACCAACCGTCATCAATCATAATTCAGACAACCCTCGAGAACCCAACCACACAACAAACCTATGAGACCAATCCTTGACTATTATTTCTACTTTTTGTATTCGTTCACATGACATGAAGATGCCGTGTCCATATATTGTGCATGTCATGTGCATGTGTATTTAATGTGCATGGTGTATTTTTTGTGCATATTATGTGCATGGCATATGTATTTCCTGTTCATGTCAGTCACTCATGCACAATATCCCAATAACATAATAAAAAGATAGGAAAGCATTGATGAGTGGGAAAAAGTGACGGTAAACTAGATATAATAACGGTAATTATTGAAGGATTATTTTGTAAAAACATGTTCATTTAAGCAACATCATATAGCATGCAATTAACAATTAAAGGCGGAATCATGCTAGCATGCACTTAAAAACAAAACATTAACCAAGAAATTCAAAGCCTAGTAGATTGGTGAACCATTAATCAACTCAAAACAAAGTGAGTTGAAATTTATACCTTTGAAGATTCCTCTTTGCATAAGCAAAGGCTAATCACCCAAGAGAGGGCCTTCATTCATTGCATCTTAAATCTATGGATTTGGATGGAAGAATAGGTTTCTCCAAGTTCCCAAAATAGGAAACCTCTAAGTCTCTTCACCAAGGTTAGATTGGAGAAGATATGAGTGACCTTGGAGTAGTAGGATTACTAGATGTACCCCCCAAGGTGGCCGGCATCTTTAGAGAGAAATGGAGAGACATGTTCTCTCCAAT